ACATAGCATACTGGCACAAATGTTTCATACAAGCCGTAAAAGTATAGAGGTGGAGGGTTGATGGTTTAGACTTGTTCCAGAGCCACTGGACATGTGTTCTCACAATAATTAATCATTTTTAGTGTACAATTTTAGATTTTGGTTAAACAAAATGCTCCAAGTAATGTTCACTCTCAAGTGTTCAGAATAATTACCTCTGCCGTTGGTTGGAGTTCAAATTCAGTTTTTCGACGTTGCTGACACTGCATTTTCCCGTGGAGAAAGGAACAAGCAAAAGGCCAAAATAAACTGTACATGCTCATCTCTAACTGTCACTCAAATTTAAATACATGATGTCCCAAGCATGTATTTTATATTTTCATTGTGGTGGTCACAAAATATTGAGATATGATCTAAAAAATATACTGACTTCACTCACTGTTATTTCCTTTTATCAATCACATCACCAGCTGCTTATTTGTCTAAACAGGATTTTTAATGTTCTCAGTTGCTTGCATGAAATATTTTTTAAAAATGAATTATTTCCGGAGTGCAAAACAACTGGTATAGTAATTTCCTGTTGTCATTATCTGGGACCCTTTGGATTGAACCTTTCAACAATGGGGTCTGACAGCCTAGGGTTTTTCATTTAATTAAGCATTTAGGATTTTTCTGAAATCAATCTTTTTAATGATTTCCCCTTTTTTTGATGAGTAAAATGGTTTTTAATTAAATTGCACATATTTGGTTTGATGTACTGTTCAGGGTGAAGTGTGCCATGAAGCCAGTGTGCATGGTGCTGTGTTAAGAGCACAACAGATTTTCCGATAAGATGGCGGCTTTTTCTTCTCATTTTTGAAAGGAGGGCAAAAATTCACATGACATTTTTGTATTTGCAAAACTAATATTGGTCACGTTGCCTGATTTCAGGGTATGTAATATTACACAGTTTTTAATACAGCAGTAACTGAATAGCTCATTTAAACCAAGGATCACTTTGTGCAAAGAAAGCTACTCTGCAGTTTAAATGCCAGTTCCATGCTGTCAGATCTCTCTTGTTGTCAGTAAACATAGATATGCTGATGTCAATTAACAAATCAGCAGGGTCAGGCGGTTCTGTTTTCCGCCTGCTTTGCTGCACTTGGTTGTTACCCTGGTAATGAGTTCTGCAGATGGCTATGTTGTGGGTGAGAGGGCTCGGTCAATAGGGGCTTCAGGGCCCGAAAATGAAAAGCATGATTGGTGTGCACCAGGTCAGGACCGTGGACTACTACAACTTGTTTAGATCTTTATTGGCTGTCAGGGGAGATAAGAGGACATTGTCAATACACATACTCACGCACAGAGAAATGAGCATGTGACAATACTTTATCCCCGTCTTCTGTTTTGTTCTTTTCACTGATGAGTTCTTTTTATCAAGATATCAAATGCATCATCGTCTCGGGAGCATTTTATCTCGCAACAATTTTCAAATGTATTGTTTTCTGCTCCAACACCTCTGTGACTCAGCTCGGTTGAAACGGTGGTTTGATTTACAGCGTTATCTGCCTGCAGTCATCAATAAGACAAAGGCACGTCACGAGTGAGCAGAGCTCGGTTTTGCTCAAATAAATTAACAAAAGTGACAGAAGTCTGTTGTTCCAG